AGGGAATACAAGTGTACAAGAAAAGGCCACGTCAGCCTTTAAGTAATGTAACTGACAGCCAAGCACTAGAACAAACTAAATAACAAACTGGACAAGTGGAGAGGCTGATATAACAAAATTGTAACAGAAGTGTATAAATAAGGAAAGGAAGCCAGAAGAGGAATTATTGATTTTGGGAATACAATCTCTCTCTCTCTCTCTTTTTCTTTCTTCTTTCTCTCTCTCATTCAGGAGGCAGGCTTCCTCAAAAAGTCCTTGAGTTAGGCAGTTCCTAACATATACATGTATATATACATATATATGTATATACATACTATATCTATCTATCTATCTATATAAAAGTTTCTTTGGATTTATATCTTGATCCCTGCAATTTGAAGTCAACACTTAGGTCCTTGGGCTATCCAATATCTATCCAAGTGCCCAAGGTAACTAAAGATCCTAAAATGAGGCCTTGACCTAATGAAGCCTCAAGATGGGGAATGTTGGAATTGGACTTGTTACCTTAATCTTAAAGTCTGCCCTAACAAAATATATATTATGGCCATTTTTTATATTACCATTTTGTTTTCTCAGAAAAAGTGTTCAATTCAGTCACATGTCTCAACGTGGGTGCTCCCAAATTCTTTACCACTTACATGTAGTATTTAAAAATTCTTTACCAAACATGATTGCGGTGCATCAACATCTCTCATAATTCTGGTTAATTGGATTAAATTTTGATTTTTCCTTTACATATTTAAAAATTAATAAGAGTAAACTTTCAAAGGAGGAATACTAGTAAATAACAAGGTTATGCAACTCTTGAATACTGATAAATAACAAGTTTTCAGGAAGAAGTTTTACTTACAATATTTTCAATTTAGTTAATCTGGCAAGAAATGCTGGCAGGGGACCTGTTAAGTAATTTTTATCTAACTTCCTGCAAAAAGATTAATTACACTTATTAGAATTAGTAGTAAAGTTCTTTTTTTATCAGCAACAGAATCATTAGTAATAAAGTTCTTTTTTATCAGCAACAGAAGCATTAGTAGAAAAGTTTCTTTATTACATGTTAACACTTCATTTAAATGTGTGGATTTAAGATTGTATAGCATTATTCTGCAGAGTCCATTGTGGAGAGCATTGATGTATTCTAATATTATAGCACCTGCTGTATTGTATCTTGCAATCCTTTTGGTCCATAAAGGCTTTCTTGTATAACCCTTAAGCACATACAGGCTTACTTGTAAATATTCAAAATATAATAAAGGCTCTTTTTGGGTGAGGGTCGAATTCATTCTTTGACACCCCTGGAACCTGGTGTTAGACTATCTACTGTTCATCTTATTGACGTGGTAATCAGAGCAGGTTCTCTGTACCAGCTCTCAGTATCTGATTTCTACTCAAGACTTGAAGGTTACTCTCGAGTTCCCAGATCTGGTTTGAAGTTTCTTTGGAGTGTTTTGATCAGTCAACATCATACTCTGTTCTGTTCTGGACTTCTATGCCAACAGCTTTAGGGTTTTCTTTGGTTCTCTTGTTTGAAGCATCAAGCCTGCATAAAGCTTTGGATTTGGTGTGATGAGCTGTACTGATATCTCCTTGCCTGGTCTGGTGCGAATCAGTTTGGAATGGGTTTTGAGTTCTTCTGGTATTTCTCCTGGAAAAGGATGCCCACCAGGTACGGTTTCTTCGATTTCTCTTGACTGGCTCCTTGGTTCATCTTGAAACTCTTGAGTTGGTGTCGCCCTGACCTACTCTTGATACTATTTGGTTTGGTAAAAGATCCCAATCTGTTTTAGTAAGGTTTTGATCCCTTCTTTGAATTGGTAGGACTGCAATCTCTCTTTCTTGGACTATTAACTTTGAATACTTTGCTAGTTGGACTTGGTTCCTAAGAAATCCTTCTTATGTTGTGGGACTCTTCTTCTTAGTGCGTTGGAAGATCTCAGATCCCTTTTGCTTGAAGATCAGTCATTATTTGTCCAATTGTGGGCTCGGCTTCAATACTGGTAAACTTTTTAGAGACCCATATTGACAATGGAAAGTTGATTTCTTGGATTCTGAGTTCTATAGAAACCCATATTGTTGTTCTTATGAGAAGAATGAGGACTGTGTATTATATCTATGCATATTTGGAGAAGATTTACTATCAATCAAACATTTCAAGGCAATATCAAATTGAATCTGAGGTTTTTGCTTATTGCCAGGGGGACAGAAAAAAACAAGAGTACCATTCTGGATTTCAGGACTTAGGTTGAATAGGAGTTAGTCCATATTGACCCCTCAGATTCTACTGAATGTGTCAAATATTTCAAAAGCACTTTGAGAAGTGAAAGGTAAATCAGTTTCTGATGAAACTCAGACATGAGTATGAAATAATTAGGTCTAGTATGTTGAGCAGAAGGACTCTTCTAGACCTATAGTCGGTGATGGGTGAACTCCTTAGGGAGGAGACTAGACTCTTGACTATTGCAGGACTTGATGGAAAGCGAGCTGATATTGGAGCTGATACTGCTTTCATTGCCCATGGAAATAAGAAAGCAGCCAATAAGGATGCCTCCGAGGTTCAATGCTATGAGTGTAAAGGGTTTGGCCATATTGCTTCACATTGTAAAAATGAAAATGTGTGCACTTATCGTAAACAACATGGTCATATTATTCCAGAATGGTCATATTATTTGTTAAAACGAAAATGTGTGCACTTATCGTAAGCAACATGGTCATATTATTTGGCCAGCTAAAGGTGTTCGAAAAAAAGAATCAATATCATGCTTACCAAGTGACTAAGAGCCAGACTTCTGATATCACCCCTACTAAGTCTGATTCTTCTGCTAAAGGTGAATCATCTGCTTCTATGGATAAAGAGGAAATTCGGCAACTGGTATCTTTTTCTATCTCTTATGCTTTCTCTGCTATTAGCTTATCTGGTGAGTTTTCTAGGTATTGTTCTTCTTCATCTCCTATTTGAATTATTGATTCTGGAGCTACTAATTATATCACTAGAGTCTATTCTAAACTCTCAAACAGCACCTCTAAAACCCATCACGAACATATTGTTGTGAAAAATTGGGCATCATTTCTAGTAATGAATTGTCCCTTGGGCTTTCTCCCTTCTCTTCCCTCTCCCTTACCAAGACCTTCCTTGTCCCAGATCTCACTACAAATTTTATTTCAACTGAACGACTTGTTGATGAAGGTCATATTATTACTTTTCTTCTACGAAGTTTCGGGAAGGGACGTAGACTGGGCCAATGTTTGCATTGGAGTTCAAGAAGCCTCTCACAGCCAAGTCATCTGCTTATTTTAGCTCCTCATCTAATTCCTTTTTTGGTCAAAGAAAAAGTGTTTGGAGCTTATGGCATAAATTCCTTCTTTACAAACATTTGATACTTCATGTGTTTCTTGTTGTTTGAGTAAGGGCCATACTTTGCCTTTTTCTCATAAGTCTAAGCATGCTACTTCTCCATTTGAAATTATACATACTGATGTTTAGACCTCTACTATTACTTCTTGGTTGGGATACAAGTATTTTGTACTATTTATTGATGATTGTACTAGGTACGCCTGGATTTATTTATTTTTTTTCGGCACAGATGTGAAGTCTCCCCAACATTTCGATTATTTCACACCATGGTATGAGTTCGGTTTCAATCTTGTGTACATATCCTCCACTCAGATTCAGGGGGAGAGTACACTAATGGAGGCTTCCTATCTTATTTGAAACCAAATGGGATACAAGTTCAACAAAGTTGTCTAAATACTCCCCAGTAAAATGGAGTGGCCGAGCATAAGAATGGACATGTCCTTAGTGTTGTGAGGACCTTATTACAGGAATCGCATGCTCCCTCTTCCTTTTGGGTGGAGGCAGCTAGTACAATTGTGTTCTTGATGAACTACATTCCTTCTATTCTTTCTAATGTCTCTCCTTTACAGAAGTTGTTTTGTCGTCCACCAAACTTTTCTTCTCTTCATGTGTTTGGTTGTCTATGTTTTGTGCATCTCCCTTCTCATGAGCACTCCAAATTATCTGCTCAATCTACTATGTGTGCCTTTGTGGGTTATAGTCCTAACCATAAGGGATTTCTATGCTATGATCCATTTGTCTAAAATATTTGTATATCTCATAATGTTGTTTTTCTTGAACATATTTCTTTCTTTGCTAGTGTTCTAGATTACATGCTCCTTCGGTTTCTATCTTGTATGAATTTGATTCATAGGACACTTCCTCTTCGATGGCTATGAAGGATCTTCTTATCTTCTCCCACAAGTAGTTGCGTGCACTAGACCCTATTCCTGTGACCCCCCTTCCTGTCGGTTCAGATCATTCCACTATTGTACTTGTAAGTGATACTCCTCTTGTTTCAATTTTCAAATACCCCTCTTGATTCTATTCCTCTTTGTCATTCTACTCACATTTCTAAACCTCCTGACCACTATGGTTTTCCTTCAAACCATAGTTCATTTTCTATAATCTTATACTCTACAAATATTCCTCGTGCCTACCAACAAGTTGGTAGCAACCCTCATTGGAAAGCAGCTATGGATGTAGAGGTCAATGAATTACATGAGAATGGCACTTGGGATCTTGTGCCTAAACCCTTAGATGTTTCTGCTATGGGGAGTCAATGGGTCTACACCATAAAATTGAAATCTAATGGTTCCTTAGACCAATATAAGGCTTGCCTTGTTACCTAGGGGTACATGCAAGAATATGGTATTAATTATAAAGAGGCATTTGCCCCAGTTGCTAAGATTACTATAGTTCATGTTCTTCTGACTCTATCAGTTGTACTCTATCCATCACCTAGACGTGAAGAATGCCTTTCTTCATGGCCAGCTCAAGGAGACAATGTATATGAAACCTTCTCAAGGGTACAATAGCAATCTCTCTCTTGTTTGTAGATTTAAAAAGTCTCTCTATGGTTGAAATAGGCTCCTAGAGCCTAGTTTGAAAAGATCCGTGATGTTATTGTTGTTGCTAGCTATAGCCAAATTTCTTCAGACTATTCACTATTTGTTCGTAGAAGATTTCAAGGCATCACAAGCATCCTTCTATATGTTGATGATATGTTGTTGACAGGGGATGATGATAAAGGAATTAGAGAACTTAAATCTCTACTTCATAGTTCAGTTCATATGAAGGATTTGGGTGCTATCACCTACTTCCTATGACTTGAGGTACAACAAAATGATGAAGGATATTTCATCTGTCAACAAAAGTATGAATCTGATCTTATTAAGTTGGTTGATCTTATCGATGATATGTAAGTTGATACTTCCTTGGAATTGAATGTCAAGTTATCTAAAACAGAGGGTCCATTACTTCCTAATGCCACACTCTATCGACAACTTGTGGGTTCTCTCATTTATCTTACTATGACTCGTCCTGACATCTCCCATGTGGTTCAAGTTGTGAGTCAATTTGTTTCTGCCCTTTGTCAGTCCCATTTAACTATTGTTTATCAAATTATTCCATATATTCATGGCATGTTATCCAGGCTTGTTCTTTTCCTCCTCTCCTATTCAGTTGCAGGCCTATGCTAATGTGAATTGGGCAGGTCATCTTGACACCAGACACTCTACTACAAGGTGGTGCGTCTTCATGGGTGATTCCCTTATTTCTTAGAAATGCAAGAAACAGCAATTCTAAGTCCTCTACAAAAGCAAAGTATAGAGTTATGTCATCTATCTATAGTGAAATTGTTTGGCAACCCCTCTTTGATGATCTCGGTGTTCATCTTCCTACTCTAATTCCTCTTTATGCTGACAACACCAATGCTATCAAGATTGCCTTGAATCCCATTTCTCATGAGAGGACTAAGCATATAGAGGTGGATTGTCACTTTATTCGAAACATGTTTCTTGCTGGGTCTATTTCTCTTCCTCATGTGGCCTCAAATATGCAAACTATTGACATTTTTACCAAGTCCATGACGAGGGCAAGACATATATTTCTTGTGGACAAACTGATGCTTATGACTTCATATCAATTTGAGGGGGAGTGTGGAGAGTTCTGATGTATTCTATATTATAGCCCCTGCCGCATTGTATCCTTTATTACTTCATTTTTTCTCTATCAGCCATATGAGGGCTTTCTTGTAATCCTTTTGGCCCATAAGGGCTTTCTTGTAAATTCATTTAACTCATACGGACTTACTTGTAAATATTCATAATATAATAAAGGCTCTTTGTGGGTGGGGATCGAACTCCTTCTTTGACACCCCTAGAACCTGGTGTTAGACTTTACTGTTCATCTTATTGACATCCACATCACAATTTTGTGCCAATCGGCAACCATTAAAGCCACGCACTTATACAACCATGATAACAATAAAGGAAGAAATTGTTAATCACCATGATAGCCAAAAACACCCCTAGGCTGCATTTGGCATTCCCTATTTTAAGGACTAATCTTAGTCTAGAATGGCAAATGCAACCAGAGTCTAGAATGAAATGCAGCGCTCTGTCCCTTTCCATGCAAGCAGAGATTGAACATAGAACTTCTACCTCTTCCTTGAATTACATTATTCAAAATATGGAATATGATTTGCAGAGAAAAAATCAATCCATGATGGTTCATGTTAAGAGGGTATTTTGAGCATATTTAAAAAGTTCAATTCAATTCAAGCACATGAAATTCTCATCAAAGAAAAGAAAAGAAAGAAGAATTTAACCACATAAAAATTGAAAACGACTTGTAGAAGGGAGAAGAAGAAACCATACAGATATACGAGGTAAGTCAAGTTGAGGAGCTCGTTTGGAATTTCCCCATCCATCCCCATCTCCATTACTTTGCTGGGAAAACAAACAACATGTGAATTTCTCTTTTCATTTTCCCAATGCAGTGGTTGCATATATAACAATAAAAATGACGGTGTGAGAGAGAACACGTACAGGCGTATAATATGACAAGTAGAACCATTGTCGTAATTGCAATCGCATATAATCCCCGCGTTGAATGCTTCATCATCAATGATGCTAGCGTTATTTGCGAGGGCAACACCACTACAGGGATCTCCAGTCGTATACCATTGGTAAGTGGAGTTGGAAGGTTGGGGTGAGATTCTCCATCTTCGCAAAATGGCGTCTAAAGCGCTCACTGTACCACCAGCATCAACCTCATCACTCTAAAAGGTAGATCAGAAAATACATCGAAAGTGTATTGCGGTCTCAATTTCAGGTTTCCTAACATAATTAAAAACCGTACGAACACAAGTGAGAGCACAGGCATGCGGAAAAAAATTGGCTGCCTTTAGTGCACAGCGTGTTGCCGCTTCCAACGAGACCCTCCAATTAGACGACAGTACAACAATTGTCCTGTACACGTGAAGCTTTCTCACATGTATCAAACAAGATTTATTTTCATCTACTTTTTCCTATTATTTTGGAAGGCACTGTTCTTCGTCCCGAACACTCAACCTGTGGCTGTGGTGATACTTTCAATCCTTTTCTCTCTCTCTCTCTCTCCCTCCTTATAGAAAAACAATCAAATTTTCTAATAATAAAAGCCTGCAGGTTAGTATAACTACGACAGGGTGGACATTAAAGCCTACAATCTGGGTATAACTACACTGTGGAGATTGAAGAATATCATCAGCGACTGCTTGAGAACCCATATCGTGAGGTTGGTGCGTGCACATGGAGCCCATGTGGTATTTTGTTTTATTTATTTTTATTGGATAAATTTGTATTAATATATTTTAAATTAATTAATAAAATTATTAAAATTAATAATTTTTATGAGTTTAAGACCTTTATTGTCTATAGTGTACATACTACAAAAATAAAATATCATTTTAAAAATATCAACTATTAACATTACTTAGTAAAAATTAAAATACATTTATCTTTGATTTCCTTAAAATGCTAATTAAAAACATATAAATCCCACTTAAAAATCAAACTTAATAAAGACTAATGAAATAAGAAATTTAAATGCAAAAGAATATTCATTAATAGTTTTAATAATATTATGATTTAAACATGGATTTGATTTATTGCACATAGAACATGTGTTCTAATGTTGTATTTTGTTTTGTTTATTCCTTTTATTTTATTAGATAATTTTGTATTAATGCATTTTTAATTAATTAATTAATAATTTTTGTGAGTTGAAACCTACACTTTGCATAATGCACATACTATATAAAAGACTTATATAAAATAGAGGACCCATTAAAATGATATAAAATAAAAATTAATAAAAGTTTAAAATGTAGAACCCGTTTTATCACTCAAATGAATAATAATAATAATAATAATAATAAAACTTTAGAATATAGAATAATAATGGTCATAATAGTAATATATAATATTAAATTTTAGCACGTTTTTATCTAGCAACTAATAAAAGTTAAGAAATTAATAAAAATTAGTAGTTCATAAATTAAAAAAACTAAAATATAGTTTAATTCTATTTAAAATTTTAAGGATAATTAAAATAAACCATTTGCATTCTAAATAAAAATTAATTAAAATAATAAAACTAATAGACCCAATTAGAAATATCATAAGACTCCAACTTAGGGATAATAATTTATAACTTAGCCCAACCTAATTAAACCTACAAATTTATGGGCTCAAGCAACTATTTTCTTCTAAGCTAGGTCTAGCTTAGATTTACACGAAGCTCACACATAATGCAAATAATAGGGATATAAAATTAATAAAAAATTACTAAAGTTAATAAAAATGTTAAATTTTAGCAAATTTTATCTAGAAACTATTAAAAACTAAGTAATAATAAAAATTAGTATTGATAGGATAATTAAAAATAATGATAAAATGTAATAAATCATTTAAAACTTAGCCTAACCCGACTATTTTCTTTCGAGCTAGGTGTAGCCCAAATCTACACCAAGCTCACACATAATATGGGTTGTAGGTATATAAACAGATTGGACTTCAGCTATATCTGCATCAATATACAATTATGAAATGTCTAGACCCCGTACTAAGTATGAAAATCAATAATGTTAAATTTATATTTATTAATATTTTAAATAATTATTAAAATTTCAAGAAAATATTTATTTCAAAAAATAGTTTTTCAATAATTATTAGAATATGAATAGTTTTCTTTTGTTACGATACATAGAGGGTTAATGATTAACTAAGATTGATAGAATGTAGGCAGAAGTGGTTATGAATAACCAATTTTGCATTTTCTGCATTTTTTAGGAATCGATTGAAAATGGTGGTAGCTGGTTGTGAGCTTTAGCAACAACTTCTCAGAAAATGCCACATGTCTAGCTTTCTAGAAAAATGAGAAGGCCATGTGTCTGAATGATGGGAGGGTTGTAGCCTGGTAGTGGGTTGTGAGCTTTAGCAATAATTTCTCAGAAATTGCCATGTGTCTAACTTTCTAGAAAATGAAAATGCCACTTGTCTAAATGGTAGGGGTTATAGATTAAAAGCCTTCATTTAATATATATATATATATATATATATATAAATGCATATGCATAATATCTATTATGTATATATAGTTTTTTATTAGACGTGGATTTTAATCAAATTGGATGAGGTTAAATCCACATATAATCGAATTATTAATTAGATGCAAGTTTTAACATCCAAATCTAGAATAGTTGGATTCAAAGTCTAACCGGGTATTAAACTTTCAAAGTCCAATGACGATCCCTAGAAAATTGGGCCGAAGCTAAGAAACCCCTAAGCTCAACCTAGAATATATATATATAGTAAATATTATTATATAATATTTAGATAACAAATTTTACATTAACAAATATAAAATGTTATATTTTTTAAATAGATTAAACTTAAATAAAAATTTTAATTTATAAAAAATCATAGTTTTATAATTAGCACAAGCAATTCTATGTAGTTCTAGGCCTAGACAAATATTATTACACTTTAGGTGTGGGTTGGGCTAATCCAAGCAACCTTAAAAACTATTAGGCCAAGTTTGGAAGTGCATATTCGAAAAATAAGTGCTTAAAAACATTTGCTTATTCTAATAAGCACTTATGAGTGTTTGGTGAAAAAGCACTTATTTTAAATAGGGGTAGTATTAGGTATTTTTTAAAATGATAGGCAGGCCAAGATAGGCCAGAAAGGAAATAAGAACTTAAAAATAAGCCCAGAATTTGGGCTTATCCAATAAGAACTTATTTCAGGCTTATTTTTCAAATACAAATGATCCAATAAGCACTCGGTTTGGTTTTTAAAAGAAACACTTATTTCAGGCTTATTTTGCAAATACAAATAAGTGCTTATCTAAAAGTAGTTAAAAAAGCCCAAAAATAATGCATGTATAGGTTGCACTCAGTTTGGTTTAGTCCAATTACAAGTGTCATAGTGTGTGCAACTTTGGTGGGTTGGATCAAGATGAGGATCAATCCGTGTCTAATCCAAAGTCTTAAACCTTGAGTTTAGGCTTAGATTAATTTAATTGTGGCTTAAAAAATTAACTATAGATTAATTTAATTATGACTCTAGCATAATTTTATATATTTACTAATATTTAAGTGATATTTACCAAAAATATGAAACATTTACTCATTAATAAAGTAAAATAAATAAAATAGAACATTGACAAATAAGAAAGCAGTGATATTTTATATATTTAACTGCCATGATTTTACATCAATGCAAATTTATTTGCATTGAAACCAAACACAGCCTAATATTCAAATAAGAAAGCATCCAAAAAGAGTAAAATGGTTAAGATCTAATCAAGACATCTGGGCGTCAAAAAAGATCGAGACACCTTAAAATGATTCAGATCTAAGATTGAACTTTATAGAAGAGCCCATAAATGGGTGAGATCTAATCGCAAATAAATAAGTAATCATCAAGACAGTAAGATCATTTGGTTAAATCTAGCCCAACATGAATGTGAGATTGTGAGGTTAAAGGATTTAAGTCTGTTGCACGAACCAGAGAGAGAGAGATGCAATAGGTACCTTCATTCGGGTCCGTCTTTGGTTGGGCTTCAGATAAATCGACCAGATAGAACAAGAAAATCCATATATGAAGAAAGGCAAACGCTAATGAACGAGGAAGCTTTGATATGGGTTTCATTTTTCCTGTATTCTCTTTGAGCATGAAATGGTGACTGCGAGCAATATAAGAGGGTAAGAGGGAGTGTGTTTCCTGGCACAGAGAGAGAGACCGGAGGAGACTTGACTGTCTGTGTGAGAGAGAGGTTTCCTATATATGGTTGACTTTGAGAATATTTTAACGGAAAAAGACGACTTGACTTTTATTCGCCAATCAAAATTCATCCGTAAAAAACGCTTGTTTTTCATTGGCCAATCAATGAAGGCCTAGACTTTTATAAACAAGAAATTCATAAACACTAAAAATATAATTAAAAAATACAAAAAAATAACAAAAATAATTTTTTAAATTACTCTTATGGTTTAGCTAATTTGCCAACTATATTCCTACTGTCTTCCGCTATCCCTACTCTTTGGGACAATTACAGTGATTGTTAGATCAACTAACATCATTAGAAAAGAGATTATAATGTCTGTTTTGCCCTTAAGTCATTCTCTCTCCCTTTCTCTTCCTCACTGCATCCAATTGAGACGATCCCACACTAGGTGGAGAGCAACCGCATCGGCTTTGCAAGTGACGCTCGCCAGAGTTTGTTCACAAACCTCACACATCCATATTCTATTCTTGGAGTCAACAGAGATATGAATCGAGGCCTGCGGCAGAAGATCACCAAAGTTTCTCCCAAAACCTTCGATGAAGAAACGAGAAAGCGTGCTTTCTTATTCATCTTCATCCCACCGAGAATCCTTCACATTGTATTTAGACTTTTCTATAGCCCTACAGAATCCTTCCTCTTCCTTTGATCTAGTTACATCCCAAGTTTCCCCTACTTTCACTTTTCCTTTGTCAGTCCTCAAGGGCATGATCCTCCCTGACCACTGCAAAGCCCCACACTCTCCCTCCAAGGGGCCTTGTGTGTGTGCCACTATAGGCTCCATCGAATAATTCCTAGGGACCCGGTCAGTATGCTGGTAATTCAATCCAAGAGAAAGGATGAGAAAAGGGTTTGGTGGTGGAAAGTTAATAGGCTTGAGAGGTGGACAGTTTGGTGCTACTAGGAAGGATTGGTTTCCGGGCAAAGGGAAAGAGTCAAGCTGGGCCACTAGATGGCTCGGGACAAAAATCAATAAAGATTCCCTCCCTAGATTCTATGAGGTTAATGGATGAGCTATGACCGGCTCTGTGGTCAAGCAGAGGATTCTATGTTATTCCCATGCCTTGCTGCATAGGATGGTCTGGTACCGGATTAAAGTTAATCAAGTGTTGATTAATCATGTCTTGGACAACAAATTTTAATAGCTAGCAACGATCTTTAGTGTGACCAAGTCCCTGGTGAAATGTGCAATACACATTCTCATCATAATTCCTTGGCTTGGGTTTTGCGAGTGGCCTCCATTTCAACAATTGCAAGTATCCTTCCTAGACCAAGGTGGGCAGCAGTTGGGAGTATGGGTAAGGTATTTGAATAAGTTCTCGCTTTTCCCTACGGGGATGAGGAGGAGCAATTGGAGGATAAGCAATACATTATGGTACCTGGGAGGAGGAAATTGGGGGGTTACTAGAGGTATGGGTTGATAAGGTGCTGTAGGACAAGGTGTTTGTGGTTGAGGCGGGGGATTTACTAAGAGAGGTGGTCTAACTGGTGGAGGGTTGGGTTGGACAGTGGCTACGAAGTTGGTTCGGGGAAAGGTAGTGGCAAGAGGAGTTCCATAGGTAGAAATTGCATGAATTTCAGTCTCCATTTTAGGTATGGGTAAAGGTCTCCTTGGTCCATGGATAGAATTAGGTGTGTTTCCTGCTTCAGCTATCATTGGGTTCATGCGCCTGTGACGCAATGATTCTTCTATCCTCGTAGCACCCTTGACAACATTGCTAAAGTCCCTTAATGGTTGGGCCACCAATAGTGTGTAATACAAAACCTTTAGTGTTTTGATAAAGGTCTGAATCAGTTCTTCTTTAGATAAGGGATAACATAGTTTGGCTGCTACTTCTCACCATCGGTAAGCATAGTCTAGAAATGACTCCCTTGACTTCTGACTTATCAAGTCAAGTTTTGCTCGATTTGGGACCAGCTCCATACTATAGGAGAATTGATCCATAAAAGCATCAGATACCTTTCTCCATGATTTCTTCTTGTTCTCTTCCAAATCAGCAAACCATGTCTTGGTACTCCTGGTCATACTTTTTTCGAAACATTTGGATTAAAAGCCTCTCATTAGATCCATACTAGAGCATATCTCTATAGAATATCTTCAAGTACATCTGTGGGCATCCCTTCTCATCGTACTTCTCAAAATTAGGTATCTTGAACTTCTCACGCAATTTGGCATATAGGTATAAACATAACTCTTTGAAGTTAGTGATTCCCAAATTATGCACTCCCTTCACTTATCTCACTTCTTCCTTTAAATTTTTCATATCATCTTTCCAAGTGGTCTGGGACGTAGGAGGGGGTGGTGTAATAGTAGGCTTGGGACTGTCCTCGCCGAACAAGGTTGGGGAGGGCTGACAATAAGACTGCTCTAGAAAGTTAAAGGTTGGTTGGGGTAGAGATTGGTAGTAGGACTGCTCCGAACAACTAAAGGCTAATTGGGGTGGAGGTTGGTAGTAGGACTGCTCTAGAAAGCTAAAGGTTGGTTGAGGTAGAGGTTGGTGTGACGAAGCAATGAACACAAAGGGAGGGGGGTGTAAAGATAGTATTGGGTGTGCTAGATGTCGAGAATGCAGAGGATGTGAAAGGTGGGAAAGCAATTGATGTGTTTGGCGGTGTGAAGGTGGGAGAGGATCCCAATGCTGGTGGTTGGGTGTTCTAACATGTTGGAGGAGGAGGTGGTTCTGACTGAGTATGCTCTTCGTGAAAGGCTACAAACTGGTCTATTACATCCTCTAGCTTTTCCCGAAGTTTGAGTTACTCAGTATATGGGACCGAGGCTGATATCCTTAAGTCTAGCAAAGTAGCCAAATCCGCAGGTGGAGGGGCGATAATGCCCTCAATCTGGTGTGATTCTTGAACCATGGCTCGCGCAACTGATCTGGTTATTATACGCTGAGTCACAAGCTTAAGATTCCCAATGATGTTCTCCTACAGATGCAACTTGGCTAATAATGGTATCTTCTTTTGCAAATCCTTCCCCCTAAAATTTTCTATTCCCTTTCCCCTTTTTTACTATTATTTTAATAATAATAATAATAATAATAATAATAATAATTATTATTATTATTATAATATTTTTTTTTTGTTTTTTTTATTTGTAAGAGTATCATTTTGCTTTTTATCATAAGGAGAATAAGTGGAAAATGAAAGGGTCACATAACTCGATTGATAATAAAAAAAAAAAAAAAAAAAGGAAGTTTTTGAGCTTTTCCTGCATATGTAAACATCAATTCAGTATAAACCAAATGTATTCCTCGCGAGACTAACTACAAAAAAGAAGAAAATGGAGAATCGAAAGTATATATTTCAGGGGAGGGGGAAACATGATAGGTCAGAGGCATTAGATGTTCGATCTATTGCTCATTCGAGCTATGACATCAGAGGCATTAGCGACATATTCATCTATGGTTGTTTTGAGATCAGCATAGTCTTGATGAACTGCCACATTTTCTTCATGAGCCTAGGAATTTAAAAAAGAGGTATTTTAGTAATTTGGATAAGGGGTATTTTGATAATTTGGGTGAGGATATTTTTGAAATTTGGAAGCAGGGGTATATTTTGGCTTTAAGGGTATTAGGTGGGTTAAACTATGGATTTTAGGGATTTGGGGGTTGAGATTCGGATTCTTTGGATTCTCTAGGTTTCCGCAGAGTCGGTTTGACTGGTGTTCGAGAGCGAGTTGGGGGGTTCAGATAGAGGACGGAACAAAAGTCGGGTGTTGACACCAGCTGTTATTATCCATTTCTGGTCGTTGAAATTTCCTTGGCAAGATTTGGTTTTTCTCCCTCACAGATGCTCGTAAGGTCTAGTCTTTTTCTCTTCTCGTTCTGCAGAGGGAAAGAGAAACATAGATAGAGAACAAGACCTAATGATATTTTACAAAGATCTTCAATTTCATTAGCAGATCGAGTTGAGGAATGAAAAGGAGATAGGGAAGAAAGGAAACTGGTTTGTTGCAATGAAGAAAGCTTTCAGCCCAGAATCCAAGGAGAAGAAAGATGAAGAAAGCAGTAAATCTAAGAAGAAATGGTTTGGGAAAGAGAAACACCTACATCCCTCTACTTCCTCATTTTAAAGTTGAATCTGCTTACACAGTGCCTCCGTTTCCCTAAAATTATCCTCCTCCCGAGGAAGTGCAACTCATCAAAGCGAAAAATGAATAGAGCAAGTATGCATATTCTATTGTGATTGCCACTGCTATGGCTGCTGAGGCCGCAACAATAGGTCGTGTCGGCATGGCCCGTGAACCTTCTGGTGCCACTCACCGTTTGACCTTCGACTTGGTGAAGTCGTAATTTCACTCTGACTATGACGGCACTAACAACTACTACAACTACTGTGGTAGGTCATGTCGGCATTGTGGTTCTTCTACTGTTTCTTTTGCCTCTAGACCCTTATATCTGAAAGACATACTACATGTTCCAGCCATCTCATTGAACTTACTCTCTATTGCTAAATTTTCAGCTGATAACGATGCGTTCCTTGAGTGTCACCCCTCTGAGATATTTGTGAAGGACCAACAAATCAAGCAGATTTTGCTCCCAGGGCAGAGTAAGAATGGTGTTTATGAGTTTCGATTAACTTCTCTTCAGTCACTTCGTCCAGAGAATAAGCCTCTCACACATGGCACCTTCGTTGGTGAATGTGTTAAGTGCTGATGTATGGCATCGCAGATAAGGCCATCCTTTCATCAGATTACCTCTTATGTTCTTCATTCACATCACCTACTTACGGTTTCATCTTCTTTATTATTCTGTGATTCTTGTCAATTAAGTCATCAGTTACTATTTACTATTTGTATTAAGAGGAGCTCCTTGTGATGTTTGGGGACCAGCTCCTAGGGCCTGTACTAATGGATTTCGGTTTTACATTTCTTTTATTGATGATATTAGTTGTTTTTACTGGATATTTCCCATGATACATAAATCTGAACCTCTCTCCATTTTCTATGGTTTAAGAAGCGTGTTGAAAAGATATTTGATAGATGAATTAAAATTTTCCAATGTGAAGGTGGGAGAGAATTTCTACCATGTGATACTTATCTCCTCCAAGAAGGTATGACTAAGGAGGAGTTTGGCAAGTCTTTTTAGGAAGATCTTCTAAAAGCTCAAGACCTCAAAAGACTGATGAATTTTCATAAATAGATCTTCGAAGACCAAAGACCGTTTGGTTTCAATTTTTTTTAAAGATCTTCTTAAAAGCAACAAAGACCAAAAGACCATTTGGAAAGTATACTTGCCGATTCGACCCAACTCGCTATTTTTTTGGGATTGGACATAATTTTAGGCCCACGGGCTTAGGCTTGGGCTTTAAATACCAAACCTGACTATTTTTCGGGCTAGTCTCGGACTTTCTCAAATAAGCACAGTCAACACTATTACATATAATAAAAAATACTTATGTTATTGATGTAGCTCAATCCGGTCACTCCTACCTGGCGCTCGCGTTGCTCCTGAGAGGTGTCTGAAACGAGAGGAAAGAGGAAGAACTCCCGGGGTGGGGGTTTCCCAGCCGGAACGCTCCGATGCTTAAGTTAGTACTGTGTGCAAGAAGCTGAAGGAGAACGAAAACTAAGAGTGCCAGGTTGCGCTAGTCATTCCAGATACCTTGTTGCTTGAGAATAATCTCCTTATGACTGAATTCCGTTGCTTTGGACCCTCTGACTCCTGGCAGGGCAGGCATAACCGCCACTGTCAGTCTGCCACAGCCGTTACAGGTAGGGTTGAGGTGGCACACGCGGGGCCGTCGTGCAGGGTACGTGTCTGTCAGGTGTGGGACGCCTTTCTAAGGGTGGCAGGTGCGGCGAGGGGACGTCTACTGTTCTCAGGCTTGTCGGGTACGGCGGTCGGGCAAGAAGCCCTCCTATGGTACACCGAGCTGTTCTCCTGCGAATTACCCTGAGCTGGGCTGTCCTTTGAGTAATCGGCTGCCTACAGCCGATTATGCCGAGCTAGCCGACCCGAGGTCTTTGTGCCTCGGGGCGTCCGAAGAAGAATTGGTGCGTTCTTACTTGGGAGTGACCCGAGGTCCATTGGGAGGAGCTCGGGTCTCAAAAGGGGTCAGGTGCCCTGAACTCGAGACCCCCCGAAGTGCCTTAACCCCGGGGAGGAGGTGCGGGCAAGGCGGCTTTCGGCGAGTAGTTTACCTGCCGAGTTGCCGTGTTGAACTCGGTGGGACTTCCCCCCCGAGTTGTGCTCACGTCCGTTGTGCTGTCATGCTGAGTCACTGTTTGAGCAAGGTCACGTTCACGTGTACCTGAACTACGAGGTCGGGCCAAATCACCCTCCATCAGTTATATATAATAAATATATGTAATATGTAATTTTTCATTAAATTATTATCAAATATTAATATATTATTTAGGAAATACAAATTAGTTTATTAATTTATTAAGTTATTACTAAATTAATATAATACTAGTTTATAAAATTCCACCGAAAAGATGACATTTTATGTGTAGATTGGTAGGGGTGCTCACTGTTTGGTTAACCGAATCATGGGGCATTTTCTTGAACCAAATCAGTAGTACCGGTTTTTGGAAAACTGGTAATTGGAATTGAACTGAAGCAAGTTGGTTAACCAGTTGACCAGTTCGATTAACCGCTAGTTCAGTTTGTCAATTTTTTGGTTTTTTAGATTTTACAATATATATTATAAATATATAATAAAAAAGTGTTAATATATATAAAATACTATATTTTAAATAATAAATAATAAATAATATATTATAAATATATACATTTATATATATAATGCATATTTATTAATTTATAATATATAAAAAATAAAAAATATATAATATACATAAATATATATAAAATATATAGAAATATATGTATACGATCGATTCGGTTAACCATCGGTTTTTTATATTGGTTAATCAAAATCGAACCGATACCTTTAGTTTTTTAAAAACACCGAACTAAAACCAAACCGACCGGTTTGGTTAACTGATTTTTCGGTTCGGTTTTTGGATTTTTTTTGCTCACCCCTACAGATCGGGCTTCAAGCTCGGGCTCAAGATCTTGGCTCGATGGACTGGACAAGCTCGGGCTTGGGCCTTGACATTCCATTGTTAAAGAGGCAAAGTCTAGCCCAAACTCGGCCTTTGAACAAGTTTAAACCCCATTATTGGATTAGAAACTCAGTTTGACCCAACTTTCCTAAACTTACAAAATAGCCCTAAACTTTACTAAAATTATCAATGCCTTGATATAAATATAACCTAACTTTTTCCATTTCAACTAATCTACTATTCATCTTCTCCGCCCTCTCGACATACAGCGGAGGAATGGTGTGCCTCCGATCTCTCTCTCCTCTCCAATTTTTCTCTTTTATTTTTTATCTCTCCCTCTCTTTTCTACTATTCATCTTCCCCTCCCTCTCGACACACAGTGGCAGAATAATGGCCTGAAATGCCTTTTCTTCTTCTTCTTCTTCACAGCGGTGACGAAAACAGTTCTGACAATGCCGACTCCATCCGAGCTCTCTCATGTTCGATTCCATCTCTCTCTCTCTTCCTCTCCTTCCCCTTCTTTTTATTTTCTTTTATTATTTTTTTTACTGATTTCCACCTCTATATTTACTATTGCAAATCATAGCAGCGGCTATTGTTTCTATCCACTCCATTCCATTTATTTTGTTCTCTCTCCCTCTCCCTTTCCTCTCTCTCTCTCTCTCTCCCCTGTTTTTATCAGCTCCTCCAATAGCTGTTGCAAATCATCTACAGCTCTCACCGTAGTAACTCGACGTTGCGACGAGTTTGAGTCTAAGAAGAAGAAAACGAGAAGAACATACATTCGAGCGCCTTTGAGCAGAGAGTTTCTCTCGAAAATTGTCAAAAGCATTGGGAAGCCGAGAAAACCTGATAGACCATAAGCTTGGCTCGGGGCTTCTGAGATGTAGACCACTTTGGTCTTTTAGAGTCTTTTTTGGGATTTGTCTTTCGATCTAACGAGTTTTCATTAGCCAAACAGAAAAAGATCATTTTTTATCTATCGGGCTTCTAAAAGCCCAAAAGATCTTTCAAAAAGATTTGTCAAAGAAGGCCTAAGTGAATTTCTTGCTTTCACACATAGGCCCAAAATGGACAGGCTGAGAGGCATCATCACTCTATTGTTGAAACGAGGCTTGCTTTATTAGCTCACTCGTCGGTGCCCACACATTTTTGGTTCCAAGATTTGCATACAACTACTCGTCTACACTACTAACAAGTTGCAATTCCGCTCAAAGAGTTTGCGTCTTTCTAGGCTATCTAGCCAATTATAAAGGCTATTATTGCCTCAACCCGAGCAGCGAAAGGACTTTTATTTTTCCAATGTCATCTTTAATGACAAATTATTTCCTTTTGCTTATATTTCTCTAGACTCCATCTCAGTTTAGCAGCCATCTTCTGGGAAATTTTCCCTTGGATCACCACTAGTGTTACTCCATTTGATGTGTCTTCCTCTTCTTTAGGAGCTGTTTGGCATCATTGTCGTTTCTTGGAGCAACGGTGCCACATCAGTGCCACATTGAAAAAAATGGTATTCCAGGAAGCAAGCATTTGTTTGGAATCATTTTTCCATAAAAAACGATACTCAAAGTTATGCCTCAGAAATCGGGAAGCCATGGCTTGGAGCAACACCAAATTTGGCATTTCCTAGAGCTACAGCTCGTTGCTGCCAAAAGGACAATGTGGCACTAGATAATGGGTACCATTGTTGAAAACGTTTCCTGGAGCAAAGATACCAAACAGAAAAATTAAGTTACTATTACTCCAGGAAGCGTCCTACTTAAGATTCCAAACAAAAATAAAGGCACCATTTTCTGAGAAAACAATGCTCCAAGCCACACATCAGCAGCATAAAACGGTGCTGTGCAACTACAATATCGATGCCAAACATATACCTATTGAACCATCTATTGCCTCTCCGAGAGTGCGCCAACTAGTGTTGATGCTCCTACTATTGATCACACTTCCTCTATTGAAGTTGTGCTTCCACCAAGTTCTACGCCACCTGCCCACCTCCAACTACTAATACTCATTCCATGGGTACTCGATCGAAGCATGAGATCAGCAAATGCCCCACCTCCAACCACTAATACTCACAACATCCGCTACCTGAGACCAGTATTGAACCCAGTTGTTTTTCACAAGCTGTCAAATATGCTTATTGGCGGCGTGCTGTGGAGTTGTTTAATGCTCTACTCTCCAAAGGTAATTGGGAACTTGGCCAGCATCTCCCCATTCTAATGTCATTGGTGGTAAATAGGTTTTCTGTATCAAGCATAACTCAGATGGTTCTGTTGCTCACTACAAAGCTCGACCTGTCACCAAAGGGTACTCTTAGCAAGAAGGAATGGACTACAAGGAAACATTCAGCTTGGTTATTAAACCTGTAACTCATGTTTATATGCTACAACCACCCGGTTTCAGTGACAAGCGTTTTCCATTGTATGTTTGTTATTTAAAGAAGTCACTATATGGGCTTAAACAGGCCTCCGAGAGCAATTGATTCAACTCCTTTCTCTTAAAATGCCAATTTCAAGCCTCTCATGCTGATTCATCACCCTTCATTAAGTGATATGGTTATTGTGTCAGTATATAGTTGACCTTCTCCAACGAGAGCATCTTGATGGCATTAAGCCCATCTCTACTCCTATGACTTCCAGACTTCTCTCTCCACAATTTGTGGTGATCCTCTTGTCGGTCCCACTCCGTACTGTCATCTTGTAGGCGCCTTGCAATATTTGACGTTTACTTCGCTTGACATATGCTTTGCGGTAAATAAAGTGTGCCAGTTCTTACATGCGCCTACTTCTCTTCACATGACTGATGTCAAACATTTCTTATGATACCTCAAAGTTAATTACTTGCTTTTGGTCTTGTCATTACACTTTCCTC